TTTAACTATAAAATATAATCTTTCTCAGTACTAGCAGAATAGAAGCTGTAAAGGATATTTTAGTACTATGAAATTTGTTTCAAAAAAATAATGAAATTTCATATTTAAAGAAAACAAAAGGATAGAATTTGTCATATTTAATATAAAAAGAAAGAAAATGTAAAAAGGAAATGAATTAAATGTTTGTCATGATTTCATATTATATTTGCGAAAGATTTTTATCAAAAAATTTCAATTTCGGCAAAAAATAATTCATACGTTACTCATGAATGTCTAACATCTAATTTAAAAATGTTAATTAAAGTTATCAATTTTTTTAATTTTCTCTAAATTCTTTAGATGACATGAGAAGAAATGGAGTTAATGCACAAGTATAAGAAATACAAGTATTAATTAGAAAAGAACAGAAATTTTTCAAATTTTATCGAGGAATGATCACTGTGCGATCATTATTTATTACTGATAAATGACAGCTTTTTATCGAAAGGTGTGAAATGATTAAAAATCTGAACTAGTGAATTAATTACGTTTCCTATATTCGAACAACAATACTTTCTTTTGTATATGATTCGAATAATCTATTTTATATTCAATATATTCAATGTTCCTATAAAAAAGCTTAACATTTATTGAACAGGAACTTTTTGCATTTTTATCACTTAATTGTGGTAATTAGTTTAATGCAGCTATATAAATGAAGCTTATTAGCAATAATTATATATAATAATTATTCATTACGAAATTTATAACATGAATGTGAATCGGAACATGATTACTGTCAAAATGTTAAATGGTTTGAGAGTTATTATTGAACTTGTTTTTTTTTTGTTTTTTATTTTTTTAAATTAAATTAACTAGAATCATTTATATTATTGCGGAAGAAATTGAATCAAAAGTTAGGATGCAAAAATTGCGTCATTGGTCCTTCTTTTGCTTGAAGTATTTATCGTTGCATGATATAAAGTTATTGGGAAAGGTCAAATGTCATGGATTTTGCAAAGGTTACTTACTGGATGACCTCTTCTCTCCTATTGCATTTGCAATGACATCGTGCAATATTGCACATTTGCTTTGCTCTCATTTGTTTCTAATAAATGATTTTGTGTTTTGATTCAGTTTCTTATCATCAAATGATTCAATTTGACAAATTCAGTTTGATGATTCGGGAAAAAAGTTATTGAGTATGAATGTACCTGTCGCAAATATTAGTTTCATTCTTCTGAATATGTTTCAAGTTTTATTCGAAATTTTATTCTCGTTTTTTTTGTGCATGAATAAGTATTATTACTTATCATTTGATGTCAATAATTTTGTTTTTGTTTTGCAATGAAATATTTTTCAGCAAAAATTTACAGATTATGTTGCGATTTCTGAATTTGAATGGTCTATTAGCTGTGTTGCTAACTGAGATAATTATATCAAATCAATTTGTTATATTTGATAAAAAATTTGATGATGGTAAGTTGAAGGATGTGCAGTTGTTACGTTCATCTGAAAACTTCGATCAAGAAGGCCATATTTTTTTTTTGTTTTTGTTCAACTAAGAAGAAAATGACTGAATAAAAGTTAAAATTTTGTACGAAGAGTAATTGATTTTTTGAAATTTAGAAGACATGAAAGATTTTAAGAAAAAAAGTGAAATAATTGATGAAAAGAAGTAGAAATTAGATTGAAGTAAAAACTATTTTTTTCTCTTCCATTGCAGATGAGCATCTCTCATGTCAACGGAATTGTACTGAACTGAATCCGGAAACAGTATTTCAGAATTGTCCAGCATTAAAACGTGGTCTTGCCTGTGGCAAATATAAGGTATACCATTATCATCGTCGTTGTTCAACAGCAACAGTTTATTGTCGACGAAATATGACGAACATTAAGGAAGTTGCGGTATATGTAGCTGTTACTGGTACTGACATAAATGCTAAGTAAGTTGTAATTTTTAAAAATATCGATAAAATAGATTAATAATGTTTAGAGGATTATTTTTAAACTTTTTTCACTTCACTTTATTTCAACAAAAAAAAAGTGTTTATAATGATAATAAAAGAAAGCGTTAATTGATGAAAAGGATTTTGATGAACTAAAAAGAAATTGGTTGAAAGAGATAATCGAGAAATTAAAATTATTTAATTTTAGCAAAACTGGTTTATTTGTGTTACCATATGTCGATAAAAATGAAATGTCCGTACCACAAATAGTTGTTGAAAAAGCTCACCATGGAAATGGTAATATGGGTGAGCTTGTTTGTGATTCAAATGGTAGTTGGATTTTATACGACACAAATTATCGATATTTAGTTGAACATTTATTTTGTTTAGTTGTTGAAGCAAGAAATTTGAATTATTTATTGGATTTACGTCGTCCTGAATTTGATCGTTCAAAGCCATTGGTACCATATCAACATGGTAATCTCGAATTTTTTGATCAACCATAATTAAATAAATACTTAAATTTGAAAAGAATTAGCAGCAAAGTTTGGAAACATTTAAATATTAACAGTTTGATAATTCTTCGATCATAACTTAATACATAACTAACTAACCATGCAGCAATATTTCATCGAATTTCATATATTTTTAAATTTTATATTTTTTATAACAATTCTCGACCATCAAACTATTGTTTTATGTAACATATTTAGTTTTAGTGTTTAATATTCTCTATTATATTGGCTTCTTTTGCAAGCTAAATTAAATTTGTTTGGTTGTAATGATCATGTCTTATAAAATCTGCCAATTCAAATTTCTTGCTAAATGTTCAACAATGATGGATATTTAGGATGAGGTTAATGATCAAGTCAGTTTAGAATCATCTACTATTTTTTAACAATTGTATGTTTTTCGCATTTTTGTTTTCGTGCCAATTTTTTTGCAGTTAACTTCAAATTACACTTTAATTAAAACCAATATAATTTTAAAGAACTTTTAAAACTGACTTATTTCAATTGATGTTTCATTGTTGAAATTTAAATGATTGATAACTTTCAACAAAAAAAAATACTCTAATTATACATGAATTTACTGCTAAAACTGAAGTGAATTTAATTATTTTAAAAATGATTACATTTTCAGAATGAGACAATTGACCTGATCAGGTCCGTTTAAATGAAGTGATTTTTTTTTTAAGGCAAAAAAAAGTATTCAGGAAAATTCTAACCAAAGAGGGCCTTTAATAGATCAGATTGCATTTTCTTTAAACTATATGCAAGCAGAATTTTCGATTTTAAATCGTTAGTTTAAATATCAATTAAAAGTTAATTAACGCATACTTATTCAAAGCAACATATCTTCAAAATAATAATAATACAACCTGCCGTGAAAAAAAATTTTTTTTTTCATTCGAGAGAGCAGATTGGTATTCAGTCATATTTATAAGTGAATAGGTTTATTCGAAAGTAGATTGAAAATATTGACAATAAACGATAATGAACACTTCGATTACTGATAACTAATTTGTTGGCATTTACTTAAATCGCTTTTTCTGAGAAATGGGCATATGTTTTCGTTCGGGAACATCCCATTCCATAATTGTACAGTGTCCAATGCAACTATATATATACCCAACAAGTTGTTCACATATATAATCAATCAATAGAAATCACGTAGAGATACGTGTGATAAGTAAGTCACAGAAGATCATCATGCAAACATACAGGAGATAATTTCGTAGTTAGGCAATGTGATGTGATGAAGAGAAAGGGAGAAAGAAGGAGACTGTTTGTTTACTGGTTAGCCACATTTGTGTCAGAGATAAAAAGAAAGACAGAGAACGTGCGATGGCGGGAAATATTGGTTGGTAATAACTTTGAATGACATTCGAGACACAGAAAAAGAATATCATGTGGCAGGAAATTTAATTTAACATTATCGAAAGAATGTGGAGAGTAATTTCTTTAGCTTAACTATCAGTTATACAAAAGTTCTATTCGTGTGTATAATTTTATATCACAAAATTTCGGATTTCTCGGCCACAACCGATTACATGTACACAGTAATATATCACTTTTCAGTTATTCTGTTTTGTCCATAAATTTTGCAATCTGCAAAATAAAAATCATAGCAGCTATTATGATAGATATACAGTATGAATTATATCAAAATTTAATAATGTGAACAATATGATGTTTTATTATAAACTGTCTTCAAAACACATCTAAAAATAAAGGACTAGCGTGAAATTTTGACGGAGATTTTCTAGCAAATCATTTCTCATTAGGTGAAAATAACAAGCTACCAGATAATTGATAATCTTCTCTATCATATCACATTACTATAATCACTCTGAATGCCGAAGATAAACTTTAACCAACCTTCTTACATATACCACAACCTTTCGTGAAGCAGGAATCTGTATACCAGAACATACTATCCTCACCCATATAAGTACAATAATTGATACCAAGTGGGAATCCAGGAAAAAAATTTTTGAAATCCACCTTACTTCCATCCAACCATTCAAATCGATCGCTTGTTTGTCCACGCAAACCAATAAAAACCCTTTCACAATTAGCTAATCCTTTTAAAAAAAAGTTCGTTAAAAAAGATTTCATGCAAATTTTTATTTTTTATTTTTTACTAAAAAATAACCTGAAAAAACATTTTAACAAATTAGAGATGATCAGAAACGTTATCAGTTAATTTCAGAGGCATAATGCATTTTACATCATAACTTCTATCTTATTTATTCTACAATATGATTCGGTTAAGTGATATTGAATTTTGATGTACGGTTATATCTTATTTTCAAAATTTCATTGATAGATTATTGAAATGTTAAAGTTAACGATCTTTACTTTCATTCAAATATGACATCAATAGTTATTCAACCTTGATGTTTCGTAATTTATATCATTCAATATGTAAATTGAAACAGCGTCAGTGTTTATGTAAAATAAAATTTGTTAATAAATCAAAAATCGGTTCACAAAACAATGATTAGAAATATTTGTGAATCATTGCAATATAAATTATAGATATAATTTTATGCTTATTACTATTTTTTTAGCATGACTTGAGCTAAAATTTAGAAATTAAAATGTAATTTTCACCATATACAAATGCATTTTCTGTCTCAGAGTGTATTGAAACCAAATGTGCGTTCTCCTCGGCACACATTCGTTCATACTTCACTGCACTGATATTTTCGCTTTGAGAAATCGCATTAATAAACTACAATGAAAATTAATTAATACAAATATGATAATAATCGAAGCGGAATTAAGCAATAAAGAAATCCCTTGCATGATAAACATTTCAATACTACTTTTTCGAAAGTTTAATCTTTAATTTAATGAATGCTAATTTTGGATTTAAATTTGCTCTTAAAAACTCATTTTGCATTAAAGTTTTCATTTTGAAGAGAAGAAAAAAATTAAAACAACTAACTTTATAATAAGCATTTGTTTCTTCGTTATAAACCCAACCAGGATACTGAGTATCTATAAAAATTATACTTCTTATAAATCAGTAAAGAATGAAAAATATCTCTCCTAACAATTAGTGCTAAAAAATATTCTCATTTCAATAGATTGATAGGATGTAGAAAAATTTCACCGAAAATATAGTACCGCATTCGAAAACATCATTTGTTTCACTTTTTTTCTTTCTCTTCCCTCTTATCATTTTACATTCTCGCAGTAATTATTGCATAATGGAAATGAAGTGAAACAAATTTTGATAGATAATTAAAGCAAAAACTAAACTAACCAACAGTACATAAATTACACGTACGCTTGCATTTTTTCACCATAAGTTCATGATAATCTGATAGCTCACAAAGCTTCTGAAGCATGGAGCATAACAAATAGTTATTATCCACGCATCCAGCATGTCTGCATAAGCCACAACTACTAGCACATTCTACTGCTAGAATTGCTTTAAATGTAACATCTGTTGTACTACAATGACCGCTTTCTGCAATCTTACGACAATTCAGAGCAGAATCTGAAAAAAAATCAAAAATAATGCTTAAAATACAGTTAAAAATCCACAAGTTAAAATATAACTTTTACTGTTGCTTCTAAGCTTTTATAATTTATCCTAATATATCTTTTAATATATCACATTGAGAGTGGAAAAAAATTGAATTGCTAGGCTTGCCAGAAAATTTTACCGCATAAATTGTACCTATAGATTAAAAATTATAGTAGAAGCAAATTGTTAGATGATAACAAAACAAACTTTTCTTATCAGCACAGGTGAAATCTGGATGTTGACAACAACTACGACACTGTCTTCGGCATTCTTTGACGATATGCGATTTGAAATTCGTACAGCGTGCATTTACTGTTGGACTGAAAAAATAAAAAATGTAATAAATTATAAAAGTTTTTACATGCAATCGGATAAAAACTGAACAAAAAATAAAAATTGAAACGAACAAAGCTTCGTTGATTGGAAATGCTTCCTGACAAATTATATCATTCTGCTCATTGGTGCATTTTGTTGCGCTGAATTCATCCGAACATGGCGATATTGCTGCTTGAATTGTTGACGTAAAAAAAAGATAGAGCAAACCGTGCAGCATTTTCCGACCTAAAAATTACAAGAAGGATGACATATTTCTTTTTTAAAATCAATTAATAACATAATTTTAAATGTAATTTATCAATTTATGCTAGTAATTATTTTATGATTAGGAATATTTAGATTAAATTTGAAAGAAACTTAGTTGACTGTACATATTGAATCAACTTTGTATTCAATAATATCATTGTCTAACAGATACAGAAAAGAGCGAGAAAAAATCCGTTGAACTCATAAATATAATGGCAAGGTTGGGCATTGAACCCAATAAAATCTGTTTTTTTTTTTTTTACATTTAATTTGATATTTTAATTTTGATGCATTTAATTGCTCAGTTTAAATGATTCTTTTTGATTTATTTTCGCAATAACGATGATAATAATGGCTATAATGGTGATAATGAAGTTATATCTCTAATATTAAGGATTCATCATTAATTATCAATGATTAGCAATGAAGTTGTACAGTATTATAATTGCTATCACTCTTATCATCGATATCACAATTCATGCGCGTTTGCCGGGAAGTACTTCAAGTGAGCACGACATTTGCATAGTGGTACGTCGACCTCTTACAATAGTCCACGATTAAAAACTTATTCGGTCTTTTGTCATTTTCTTCTTGACAGATTAATGCGGGTGAAAGTGTTATCACGGAATCCAGCTGATTATCAGCGAGAGACGAGAAATGATATTTATAAAGGTAAATATATAGAGAAATGATATTTATGAAGGTAAAAAACGGATTATACTTTTGCCTGATTTGCAATTAGTACGTTCGGTGATACAACTAAATACAGTAAATGGCTGCCGGATAATAAAGTGATGAAAATAAACGGTTTCTGGAAAGCATTGTAAATAAGTATCAATTAGGCATAAACGAATCAGCCTAAGCTTTATTATAATATTTTTTTTTACTAAAAATATTGTAGAAGGCAAAATGCTCAAAGGGAAGAGATGTCGAGTGATTCAGATGAGATTTTTCTTATAACCAGTTTGAATTTTCAGCTCCACGGAATTTCAGTTTGCCGGAAGATCCGTTCCAGGTTCAAGTGGAGTATACACGTGCGGTGAATGCTGCTAAACTAAACAGGTAAATAAATATGCATCAATTAGATACAGCTGATTTTTAGTTAACTGATTAATAGTTCAAGTTGTTAGCAAATATAGGTAGCATATGTATTATTGTTTAAAATATTCTGAAAGAGGATTTCATTTCGAAGTGGTTCGAAGTACTTTAGAAAAAAATATTGCAGTTTAAAGTGCTAGATATTATTTCACGTTTTAGTAGTTTAGGCACTTTTTCTACCAAAGGTGATAGTTTTGAGATTTTTTTGCATGCAAAGAGACTAGTAGAATAGTCAGTCATGCTAAAAAGTGTATTTTTCTCTTAATTTTAAATACCGAGGATAAAAATGCATGAATTTATTTGTACTGGATATCATTTAACATTTAAATAAAGCTCTAACAGTTCTTTGCTTTTAGGGTTTTTGCAAAGCCATTCATTTCAAGTTTAGACGGTCATAATGACGGCGTTTCAGTGCTTTGTAAACATCCTCTCAGGTTTGTCTCTTTTATTTCTTTTGAAACATTAAAATTTAATTTAATAACTTGAATGAATCTAGTGGAATTTTCGTAAGCTTTTAAAATCAACGACTGCATTTCATATTATCAACGATTTTATCCGGTGGTCGAGACGGTCAAGTACGGATATGGAATTTGCCGTTGCGTAAATGTTTGGCAACAATACAAGCGCATAGTGGGCCTGTTAATGGTAATACTGTTTGGTATTTTCAAAGTATATGGTGGAATTTTCTCCACCAATTTTATTTTCCAGTTTCTTTTAATTATGGAACTTGAGAAGTGAGGAAAAAGTGGTAATTTATTCTTATGTCCTTAATAATCTTGACTTAAGGGATTTCGTGTGATAATCTTTCGGGTGAAACCTTTGTGACGGTTGGACACGATTCACAGTTGAAACACTGGCGATGTTCGGATCCAGTTGAAGGCGATCTCTCAGAACCTGTACATTCGATACCTCTTAATGGTGTTGCTCATGCTGTGTCACATATTGTGAATAGTACTGACTATGTTACGTGTGGTGAAAGTATCCATGTGTGGAATAATTTAAGGTGAGTTGAACAAATGCTAGAAATGTTTGAATTTCTTTTTCGAGCGATTCATTGGAGTTGTCGAGTACTCTGATCAAAAAAATCTTTGCTTCAGGGACTCTCCGGTCCGAATATATAACTTGGGGGTGGATTCAATTTACACAGTCAAGTGTAATCCTGTCGAAACAGAGATTATAGTTGGCTGTGGTAGTGATCGAACGATTATACTACTGGATACAAGGCAAAAATGTCCATTAAAAAAAGTTGGTTCTTTTAATTTTGACTGTACTTCCGTAATTGAATTCAAGCAGACGAGGCAAAAATCATCGTCTCTTATTGTTTAGTCACACTGGTATTTTTCGATTGAACTTATCTTGCTCTTTAAAAAGACTTTCTTCAGGTAACGATGAAATTGCGTCCAAATGCAGTAAGCTGGAATCCAATGGAAGCTTTTACATTCACAGCTGCAAACGAAGACTACAAGTAATTAGCTTTGGTATTTCTGTTTCGTTAGTTAGTGAATACTATTTTGATTTTGGATTTCTTTTCTAGCTTATATACGTTTGATATTCGGAAGTTGACTGATCCTCGGCGCGTATACAAGGGCCATACAAATGCAGTGATGGATGTTGATTATTCACCAACGGGAACTGAATTTGTTTCTGGAAGCTATGATCGTTCGTTAAGGATATTTCCCGTTGAGTCATTTAGTAGCAGGTATGACATTGTTCTCTTTTTTACTTATCCCGTTTAGAAATTGAAAAGACTGAAATTTTATTTAATGTTTAATGGAACGGAAATCAACAAATATTTTTGAGGGAAATATACCATACCAAACGAATGCAGCAAGTACTTTCTGTGTTGTGGTCGCTGGATAATAAGTTCGTGTTATCTGGTTCCGATGAAATGAACATTCGCTTATGGAAAGCAAATTCAAGTGAAAAATTAGGCCCGGTATGTGTTTTATTGATGTTTTTTTTAAAATCAGTTTTTACATTCGTTGGCACTATTTTGACCTTTTACAAACTTTCCGAAAATTTTGGAAATCTGAGATTTTGATTAACTTTATTCAGTTATACCGACGTGAACGTGCAGCATTTAATTACAATGCACGGTTGTTGGAAGTTTATGGTGAACATCCTGAAGTTAAACGAATTGCGAAACGTCGGTTCCTTCCTAGATCAATTTATACGTATGTTTTCTGTGTTCTTAAGTAAAAGATATTTATATCATGGTGCTTCATTTCATTTGCAGAAAGAGCAAAGCTTTTAAGACTTTCTGGATATCTGATTGCCAATTTACAAGCTTAACCTTTATGACTTCCACTTCTCACTGTCCATCAGATTCTCTTTTTAGAGCCACAAAGGAGCACAAAGCTATAAGTTTGTCGCAACGGCGCAAAGAAGAAAACAGGAGAAAGCATTCGAAACCTGGTGCTGTTCCATATGTTCCGGAACACTTGAAACATATGGCAAAGGAATCTACTACATAGTAAATTTTATTAAGAAGTGTTAAGATTCATTTTTTTAGAAAGTACTTTTTATAGTTGTTGAGAAGTTATCAGCTTCGAGCAAGTGAAGAGAATGTGTGATTGAAGAGCAGAATGAATAGAATTCTTGTGTTTTATATTTAAGAATGCAATTTTCGGCGAAATTTGTTCCTTTAACTGCATTTATTTCCTTGGTTATTTTGCACGAGCCAATTTTTCATTCGAAAAAGGGAAATTTCTCTTTTTTCTCACACTATGTTTTCTGTTCACTGGATATTAGCGTATTTGTTTACTGTATTTTTTGTTGTTATTATGTCAAATGAATTGTTATTACATTAATTGTTGTGTAAAATAGGTACTCACCATGAATTACATCCGTTGAAATCATAGTTGAATAATAAGCAAAAGCATTAAAAATTAGACTTCAGACATTTGGCTGACAGTTTTAACTACCATATGGTAGTATAAAGTTAAAATTTACAGTTCGAATACAATAGAATACATACATCTCAAAGATCAATGATTGCTGGGATATAAAAAATAAAGAACTATTACAAAATTGGAACATATGCAGATCAAACTCGGCTATCTTATTAGTATTTTTAAAAAGTATGAACAATTCTTCACAAAAAATGTATTTTCCAATTGTTAATTATTTGACGTATTCGAAAGTTTGCTGACCGAATTAGAGTCACCCTCTCGATCAGTCATATTAATTTTTCGCAGCATTTTTGGATCTTCTTGCCACTCAAATGGTTTGTTCTTGTCAATCTAGATATGGAAATTAAATTTAAATAGGATGATATCAATTTCCGAGAAAGATATTCTTTCATTTTAGGGGATTTTTAAGCTGGTAGGAATATTTTCTACTCCAAAAATCTTCCTTTTGATGCTACAAATTTTCATACTTTTAAGCGATCCATGGCTTGATTGATGAGAGCATGAATGATACGATACCTCGGTCGGGCATTAAATCTAAATTTTTCAAGGTTTTTTAAAAAGCATTTCTACAGTTTTAATTCTCAGGAAAAATGGAAGAAGTCCATTTCTCGGATCTTTTTTTTGGAACAAAAACTAAGAATTACGCCGTTTGGTCGATGATATCAAGAATTTTCTCAAATTCCTGAGGAGAATCGCCAAGTAGTAATTGTCTACCGGAACCACGTGTGAATTTTTTCCATTCACCAACTAACAAATACTCTCTTTTGGGATCATGGATGAACCACGGCAAATTTCCTACAATTAATGTTATCAATTTTTCAAGTGTTTTAATTTTTATTAATTTCCTTGGGCTAAGAAGAAATTGAAAATCCAGTTTAAATTTCAACTTATTATCATATATATATTTCTATTTTAAGAAGTACCGCATTCTTTAATATTTCTTACACTTTGATTGCACTTTTCTACTCTTCAGTTGAATGATTTATTATATTATTTTTATTAATAGAAAATAAAACTACGTAAAATAAGCAAAAGTAAAAGTACATGAAGTTACGTGATTGTATGATATATGAAATCGTTGAAATTTTCTTACCAACGATCATTTCAATGATCATATAAAACCATGATTCCAAGTCATCTTTTCGACATTGTTCCGAAAAATTATGTGCACTCATCGGTGCATAATATATTGTACCCATTAAACTGGCTGCATTTCGCCGCTCAATCAATGTACCATTTTCACGACTACATTGATTTTTGATAATAAATACATATTCTTTTTATGTCACATAGAAGGAAGAAGTAAATCTTACTTATTTTAAGAAATAAGATTATTTTACAATAAATAGAATTAATTCTTCTATTACATTTACGAATTTCATTTTAGAAATGGTTCTCAAAATGAATGAAGAGTGAATTGAGATAGTAATTTGCCAAAAAGATAATATTTATTGTATCAAACTAACATGAATCGTCGTGCAAAACCAAAATCAAGCATGTAAATTAATCCCATATTTTTCCTCCCAATGCAAAAATTATTCGCTTTAACATCACGGCAAAGCCAGCCGCTATCATGAAGTGCTTCGATACGTCTTAATGTTTGCGATGCAAGTTTAAGAGCTGTCGAGAGACTGAATCTGAAAGAAATGAAGTTAAAAAAAAAAATCCTGATTAAATATAATTTTGTAACTCCCTTCATAAATTTAAAAATGGAAACTGAGCACATTGAGAGTGAAAAATTTAGTCAAAAATACTGCTCGATTATTACAAATGAATAGTTTAAAAAAAAAAAAAAAAGCTTTCGAGGTTTTCATATTTTCTCACATGATAGCTTGCTTATTCATGTTATTTTCCAAATTCAATTATGCGTTGATATATTCTCATTGCACTAAAAAATCGAGGAAGAAAATAATGAAATGGAAATAAATAATAAAGCAGCTTAAATAAATTAATTAAAATATATCAATTTTTTGTTGTATGAATTAAAATTTTCATTTACTTTTTTGCTGGTATCGAGCGTCTCAGGCGTTGTAAATCTGGACCAACCAATTCCATGATGATATATTTGTAAAGTGGTGTCCTGCCAGCAGCAATTAAACGTGGAAATCCCGCGGCAATATTTTGATGATTAAGTTGCTTTAGCACTAATGCATCCAATTTCAATACAGGCCTATAATTGATAAAAATTATCTTTTTGTCAGCATATTTAGATAGCATTAAAATCAATATACTATAGAAGAGTAAATTGATTGATTAGTTCATAAACGGATAATATCCGCAAAGATTTCTGTTCAAAAAGAAGCAAATAGAATTTTCCTGTGAAGGATTTTATGCCTAATGTTTGATTAAATGAAGTATGCATTCATGGATGGATATATGCTATAACACAGAAGATCGCCCAGCTATGATCAATTTCAATTATTTAAATATCATTTTTACAGTGCCTCGTTGACTTACCACAAATTAATCCAAGAAAAATGTAAATAGCCTTATCCCGAAGTAATAACCTTTTCGATCCTGTTGTTCGCTCAATCTTCATCGCATATTGCATGCAGCCTTCATTGATTGCATAAACTTTGCTAAATGGTCCATTGTAGAGCTCTGATTGGATACGATATTGCTTACCTTTCAATGTAACCGCCGAACCAACAGGTAGCATTTTATTATCATTATCCTCACTTTCCATCAATATTAACACCTTACGTTATCGCACTCAACAATTATGCGATACCGTTTCCGATGAATACAAATAATCAAAATGACTGCTTCAGAAAAATTATCAGCATTTTGAAATTAGGAATATTATGCACGGCCAAGTTGTGATTTTTCTCCAGAAATAATACACTCTCTATTGAATATTTCACAATCACGAAGACATTTATTTGACCAACCAATCACAAAGGATAATTTAGCTATCCAAAGAAATTGATTTCAAAATTACCTGAGTTCCTGAGCTAGTCGCGCCTATTCAGAAACTCAGATAACAAAGATTGGAGTCCATCTGTTTGATTGACATCAGAAATTACAGGGCAACAGAAATCAACACATCTGTTTCTGACGATTCTTCCACAATAATAATCTGAGACCATAAAAAATCTATTATGAAGAAACCGTTGTCTTCTTTACCAGAAATTTAAAATTCAAATCTTTGTCCTGCAAAGATTTCTGCTAAAAAAGACAACGGTTTCCAGGATAGATTTTTTATATTTCCTGCAATTTTCGATTGCAAATAATGATAACATGCCTTTAATATGTATGGAAGTAATTCAATTAAGCAAAAATTTATTTTCCCAAAAGAACAACATCGATAATACAATAGTAATATTTGAATAAAGCCACAAGTAATACGTCAATTTTACTTTTTTGTTTTTATTTTTATTTTTTGGAATTAAAAAAAGTGGAAAAAATGGTCAGTAGTTCAATTTCCAGATTAGCAAATTTTTGCATTCAAAAGTTGGTTGTTCATCAAAATAATTTTTTAGACTTGCTGTGAAATTGCGTGCTTACATAAATTTTAGCATTCAACAAACAATGGAAAGTTTCTGTGAGATTTAACAAGGTCTACGGTCGCGTACTCGTTGTCGTGGTGCACTTTTGATGATGTTATCCACACGAAGTATCTGAAGCCATAAAAAGCCTATTTAGAAAAAGTTCTTGTCTTTTTTATTAGAGATTTAAAATTCAGTTCTTTATTCCCTGCCAGTTCTCCATAAACAATGATAACATGTTCACAGCATGTTGGCCTTTCGAGAAAAGTTGCAATTCAAATGTCTTACCTGCTCCGCTGCTTCTGCTGCACTGGAAATCATGCACAGCTTTACACTCAACGACTCGATCAGTCCCTTTTCAATAACATCTCCCGGCTCGCCTTTTTCAATATCTAAAAATTGGTGTATGGCAAATATAAACCGTTATTGCTATTAAGTTTGATCGAAATCACCTGTCTAGCAGTATATGAACTTTGTTAATTAAGCTAAAATGCATCAGAAACAGCTATTCTAAACAACCATAATAAAAGGCAGTGATATATCTTCCAACCTTTTTTATCACGCATATTATTTTCATAAGTGATGCGTTAAGTATACATTTTACAGATAAAAAGATTAACTTTATCTTTCCATATTCATCATCTCCTAATATATCCAAAAATCAAAAATTTCTCCTTCCATGCACTATCAAAAGAAAAATACAAACTAACCAATTCCCATGGAATGATTGCCATTGCTATGGAAAGCACGTAACTTCGACACAATTTCTGCACTATCCAGACCAGCATTATCGCAAATGTAATTTGGTAACTGTGCCAGCGCACGGGCGAATGCCTCAACAGCAAGCGATTCTTTCCCAGCAATCTTAATTTGAGAATTTATTTCACCGTTAAAAAAGCATCTATAATTTAAAAACTTAATTAAGTTTCAATCATTAAGTTAACCGATAAGAATACTACATTTATCTACTGTTATTAATACCTTCTGACTTTCGAACATCGCTGCTGTGCTCATCAAAATTTCGGATGCCCCAGCACCAGAGACTGTGCGTGCTTCTTTAACATGAGTCACCAAGACACATAACGCGTCATGAAGCGATCGTTCTGCTTCATCAAGAATTTGTTGCGTAGAACCACGAAGAACAATACTACATGCCTCTCCTGCAAAAATAGTGCAATAAGCAGTGCAATTGGTAATTCATATAATCTACTAAATCACCAATTGACAACATATTTTGAGAAATCTGCTTTGAAAATGGAAAATAACTTGAGTTGATCACAAAAACATAAAACAATAAAAAAACCACCACAGATAATTCATAATCATTTACTCTTACCGATAGGGACACCAGAAAATCGCAGCAGCCGATCCTCACCAACCATAACTTCCTCGATAAGATTGCATGAACCAAGTTTAACTAATTCAGGTGAATCAAATGTTGACACAATTTCACCACCTATAAGAAATGATATTAAAAAATCACGAATATACATGAAAATAGAAGTGGCTGATTAGGAAAAGTAGGAAAACATGCCAAGAACAAGCGCAAGTCTTTCAATTCCCTCAAAGTCGGCATGCTCAATGGCCATGATACCAGCGTCTGCAAAGAGCTGCTCCGGATAGTTGTAAATCAACTGCCGATTGATAAATACATTAATTTTGTGTGCTATGATTTTATTCACCTGCAAAAAATTTAATTTCAAATCCAATTAAATTAACTTGAAAAACGATTTTTGAAGCTGCCATTAGTAACAGCACATCAAACTTCTTGATCTACAAACCAACCTTGTCTTTCATTTTCTGTTTTTCAGCAACTTCCAGTTCTGCAACTTTGGCTACAGAATCCACGCGGACTCTTGAACCGAAGACTTTCACCTAAAAATTAAAATGCTTCCCTCCAGCAGATTTATACAAATTGCTAATAAATGAAACAAAGTCTTAGCCTAATTTATGGATATAAGCGTTATTAGCAATAAATCAATATGTTCTACAAATTAAAAGCCTCAAAAATCCATCTAGGCAAAAGACACACTCAATTTAAGCGGATAAGAAAACCTATCACACTAAATCAAGAGATAACGAAATCGTAATTTTAGTATTCGTAACGTTGTTTCTTCTACTTGAAACTTTCAATTTTATTTGTTAAACACTGGGTGCACAACCTTATCGGTATCCATCGGTGTGTTAGCAATCAAAATTTTTGCATTTTCAACTTTTTTTGGTTGGTACATGCCTGGACGTTTCTCAAGCAAAAATCCTTAAAAACCAAAAATATATGATGGAAAATCCAATAACTGAAAAGAAACTGATACAAAATAGAATGTTACTTCTCTTAAGCAATTACTATCTCTTTACTAACGATAGCAAACTTGCTGACAAGTATACGATCTACCAAGAGAATCGACCTCATAGATAAATTCATCAACGAGGGTCTGCTCTTGGAAAAGTAATTAAACATGACTAAGAAAAACAGTTCGATGCTAAAACAGTTCATTTTCCTAACATCTAAAATTTTTTTCTCATTATACTTTTTATTCTAACCTTCATCCAGATAACTGTCATCCATCGAACCACCTAGTTTTTTGATAATCTGAATTGATTCTAGACATCCAGAACCCTTCAAACGCAATACAGCGTCAACGGCAAGTTGAGCAAAGTGTTCCTTATGCTGTGCTAAAATTTTGGAGCCTAATGTTGTTCGAGCTATTTTTAACAAATCATCACGCATATCTGCTGGCGAAGAAGTTTTCGCCGATGCACGGAGCGCATCTTGGGCTATTTTTAAAGCTCGACGATAGCCAGCAATGATTGTCTGCGGATGAATTCGGGCGGCAATCAATCGTTCGGCTTCTTTTAATAGTTCAGCAGCAAGAACGGCCACTGATGTTGTTCCATCACCTACTTCCGAATCTTGTGTCATCGAAATTTCTAAACAACAGAAAGTTTTTACTGTTAGAAAATCAAAAAATGATCAGTTCAAGACAAAAATCAATGAATAACTATAATTTCCAAATCTCGAATCTCGTTTTCAATCGTAGTCACAGCCTTATCAGATCTGCTTTCTTGAGCGGTAGAAGTGCTATAAAACCTTAACTGCTAGTTATCTCAATGTCTTACCAACAAGAACTTTGGCAGCCGGATTGTCAACACCAATGGCTTTCAAAATGGTAGCCCCATCATTCGTTACTTGTACTTGCTGTGATTCACCTTCACCACATAGCAAGATTTTGTCCTAAAACGAATCGATGTTAGAAGTTTGGGATCTATATAAGTTTAAAGAGAAAAAATACATCAAATAATTAAAGCTTAAAAGACGTTAGTCTTTTCATGCAATGAGAAAAATTTTGCAAGAAGTGCACAATAGAAGTTTATACAACAAATTTATACAACTGTTACAGACAGTGCTGACAAATTATTTATATTCAGTAAATTTCCAGTATTCGCGCAAAAATAAGCCAATAACTTCTCCCGAAGATAACAATCCTTTTATTATTTTGCATGGAACAAGAAACTTACCATTCCCTTCGGTCCTAATGTAGACTTCACCAAATCACCAATTGCAATTGCACCAACAAACGATGACAAACGTGCTCCCTCACCTCGTTCTTCTTGAGCATTCTGCTTTAATATCTGTACTGGAAGCATAGCTGCGTAAACGTTATCCTGAAATGCTTTAGTGGAAACGAAAAATCCTCGAAAATGAAATAAAAACCATGAAAAACAAGAAAGAACTAGAATCAGTTTAGCGATAAAACTTCAATTTGTTCCTAGGTTAAACAAAACAACTTTCTTACAAACGCACAATATTCTATAATTCGATCACAAACGCCTCAATTAGTCTGCATTCCCAAAATCACAATAGCATATTTATTCCCCATCATCCTATTCTTTCTGCAACCTACTGATCTGTGAGGAAATGTTTAACGTTCTATATCATATTCACATAACTCTTCCAGGTCAAAGGGCATTAAAGTTCACACAACTTGAACGAGTGGAAAGCTCGATTATTTTCATTATGTCTGCAAAGGTATAAATCAAAGTCCCCCAGTGAGATTACGATATTTGGAGCAAAACAGAAAGGAACCGATGGTTTATCGCTGGTTTGCTAAAAGTTATTGAAGTAGTAGTGTGTGACTTTTGGTGCTATTATCTCAATGCAAATAATATTTCTCTCAGTTTCAAATGTTTTAAGGATCGAAAAAGAGGTTAACAATGTAATAGTTATGTGATAAAAGGTCGATGTGATAATTGTATGATATAAGGTCAGAATGTATTATACAGTAGTTTATACTCGCTTGACTTGTATGATATGTGATTTCGAGCATGGGCATCTGTATTCCTTGAATACTGTACAGAACAATGCCACGGAAGATTGTAAACGATGTAGAATTCAGTTGTTGATATCACCCTCAATATGTAATGCTTGTTACTTATGGTACAGCAAAAAATAAATTTTAATAAAATCATAAAGTATTACAGAAAGACGAGAAGTTGGAATGAAATATGAAAGAATTATTTGAAAAGCATTGCGCAATTACGATAAATCCTCCTACAGACGAATATGGTCCACCGTTAGTTATTGAACATTTATATTCATAGAATACAAAGAAAACTGGCATAGAAAGTGTTGTTGTTGTTGCTGATGTCGTTGAGGAATAACAATTAAGCAATGTTAGATGCTAGCATGATTTTCCTGGATGTTTATGGAAGCTAAGAACATAGACTTAATTGTTCTTATTTATCATTGAAAACAACAACGCTTTCTGTATCGGCTTTCTGGAGAAGGTCTGAATGTCGTAAGTCTTTTTCAGTGATATTAGTCCTTTCACTGATTGTAAGCGTTGTATAGAAAGGGTGATTTATTGAAAGCTTTCATTCTGTTTTACAAATTTTGTGGATTTGTTATAGCAGTTTCAAAAGACGCATAACTCCTATTTTAGAATGACACGACATGTCTACTGGAAAAGGCGATTTGTCGAACAAGGGCTTCATTTGAACACTGCGCAATCTGTTAATGACACTACAGCAACTCCTAATTTCGCAACCAGTGATGCACCATCAAAGGTTTCTGATAAATATATTAATTTTTTTCTATATTCAAAAAACTATCCAACTTTTAGGGTTGTTGCTTTTTCTTTTTATAACTACTGAAAAGCCGTCTTTCATAACTTTGTTCATGGCAGCTTATGTCGATGTATCTACCGTGACGTACCTATTTCTATTAATGCTTTTCGAATCAAATTATAGCAGAAAAATTTTTATAAAATGCAGAATCGTACAGGAGATCATGACAAGCGGCGATATTATATCAACTATCTACAGAATTTATGATGATCCAGAATCAGTCAGTCGACATTTGTTTGATTTGCTGCGTTCTCCAAATGAAGATGACCATTTACAAGGCGAAGTAAATTTTACCTTCAAAATAAAACAGTAACTTAGAAGTTATAAGGAAGCAGTTCTATTTTATAAATGACTTCATTCTTTCTGTATTAAAAATTATTCGACACGCTGAATATAATTGTGGCAAAAATCATTGTTTTATTTCTATAAACCTATCACTTCAATAATTGACATCTTTTTTTCAGCTTATCGATTTACTTGGATTTGAACAGTTCGACTTAGTTACTAAAATCTTGTCATCAAGGCAGAAGCTGTTAGATTGTTATAACTTGATTCGTCAGGATGTTGCTGAAACTACGAAGCTAGAGAGAATATTGGTGCGAATAAGAAGAAAGTTCAAATCAGATCTAATTAACTTAACAAAATAAATTGGAGATAGATTTTTGTTTTATTTGTTTTCATCTGTACTTATTTGTATATTTGGAGTCTTACAATTTTGAAAAATTGTCTACTTGTTAAATTGATAATACCAGTTACTAAGAATAACTTAATAACCACGAAAATTTTGTTTAAGTTTCCCAAGAAAGTGTGACAGTTCATATCCATTGCAGTGTGACAGTTCATATCCATTTCAGCAAAAATCACAAAAGCAAAGGGAACAACCGTCGTATTGCCAGCAGGTAACAGTTCAGTCAAATGCCGATGTAAACTTACGTAAAATGACAAGGCGAGAGCAGAAGCGTGCTGCTAAGCAATTAAGTAAAATTACGCAAAGTTTAAGCGAGGATGAAAAGCTTGAGTTGGAACGAGCCCAGAACGATATATTCAAGGAGAGGTCTGCTTATTGAGAAAAACCATTTCAGCAGCAATTGCACGCGGAAAGAGACTTGCGTTCTACCAGATATTAAATTTTTTTTATTGTCAGGTTTCAAAAGCTAGAGGCGGAACGATGGTTAGAAACACTGCGTGAAAATAAGCCAAATATTCCACGTGAACGTTTTCCATATGTATACGATGCATTGACTGAATCCGAACATATTTTTATCACTGTTGATGGATTGAAGGTCTGTTTCTGAGTATTTTTCTATAACCTATAATCGGGATCCTATGATCAATAGCTGTAAGTATTAAGAAAGAAGTTGTAAATGAAAAAAATGTAGCAAACCTTTTTCGTCCATTTTATTATCTTACTTTTCTTTGAACATTTGCAATTCTGAATAAACATCGTGAAATTGGCAGAATTCTAAAACACCGTAATTGAAATGTTAAATGTATAGTTAACACTTAATTTTGTTTGATGCGAAGTTTTAACTCAATTAAGAAAGGAAAAAGATTAAAACAGTATGGATTTGACTGTGTTTTAAGCGATGTTTACCGGCTAACTCTTCCCGCGTAGTTCGCGACACTTATGAAGAAGTTCATGTTCCTGCACCAGATAGATCTCAGATTACAGGAGTCCATCAGATAAATATCGAGGATTTTGATGAGGTCAGAAATATTCTTTCGTTTACTGTTCAAATATTGCTCAAATACAGTACAGCTAAGAAATGTTCGCGTATTGTGTGAAAAATTGGTCTTAATTTCTGTTTTTAATGAAGTGTATTTCGCTTTTGTTTTTTCAGTTAGGAAAGAAGTGTTTCGACAGTTTCGAAAAACTTAATGTCATTCAATCGTTGGTGTTCACGCAAGCTTACAAATCACAAGAAAATTTGTTGATTTGTGCTCCAACGGGTGCAGGTATGATAATTTTTGCTAAGATATGGGAATAAATTTAGTAGAGATGGATTGTTTAATTTAATATATGGCCTTTAACATTAAAAATAGCAAATTACGAAAACTTCAAATCTCTTTTTAGAGTCACTTTTCAAGTAAAACTTCTGGTCGAGGAGGCATGCAAAAAGATTAAGTTCTTATACATCAACAAGGTGTTAATGTCTCTAATTAGATATTCAATTAGACAAGTTTGCAATAGATTTTTAAAAATTTAGGCAAAACGAATATTGCACTGTTGGCAATTTTGAACACAGTACATGTCTACATGAATAATGGGATGATTTGCAAAAATGATTTTAAAGTATGCTTTTATTAACGGATAAAGTAGCGCAAATAAGGATACCACATTTATGAAAATAATTTGCTTTTTTGCTCAAAAATTTTTGCTATAACATCTGAATCATTTGATGAAGTTCATCATTTCTGAAGATTTTGCAAATATTTATATATTTGTATTATAAACAAACTGTTGAAGATTGTTTATATCGCACCAATGAAAGCGTTGGCAACTGAAATGACGATAAATTTTGCTAAGCGATTAGCTCCGCTGAATTTGCGTGTTCGTGAATTAACCGGTGACACAACACTTTCACGGAAAGAAATAGCTGAAACGCAGGTAGAAAATTTTTATATAACTTAAGTAAATCAAAATACATCAAACTCGATATTTAAAAGAAAAATTATTTTGGAGGTTGCGGAAGATATTGATATATTTCTGTATGATATATATATATATATATGATAAAATAGACATTCAGTGATTGCATATATTACACTTAGGAGAGAATTAGAAATTCATTGTTTGGTATTTCAAATTTTCATGTCGTTAAAGACTTGAAGAAATTCGGAATTAAGGAAATTGTTAGACATCGTTAGCGTGATTCCGATAAACCTGAGAGACATTTTTATAGGACATCAGTCATTTTTTACTTATTCGACTATATATGATACAAGAAAATCTATGTCGGTGGCATGCATTTATGTTATTACTAATGTTTCTCTCAGAGTTGTCAGTTGTTTTTTCATACGATAAGAATTTATATGAAAAATGTCTATTTTCTACAGATGCTTGTTTTGACTCCCGAAAAATGGGATGTTGTAACGAGGAAAGCTATCGACGTATCAATTACGAAAATGGTACGGCTGTTGATTATTGATGAAATTCATTTATTACACGATGATCGAGGACCTGTGATTGAAACCATTGTTGCAAGAACGCTTCGGCAGGTTCGCATATGCAGTAATTACGTTTTTTCTTCAATCTCGTACACAATTGTTAGTTGTTAAAGGTGATAAAATTACAAAATTTATTGAGATTAGTCACATGAAATAGCTGAATCAGCTTTGCCCTGATTCTGATGAAATTACATTACATTTAACAGCTTAAACTGGTGCTTAAGATATTTTGTTGACTTGATTTGATCATTTCTGTGCAATTGTCGGTAGCAACAATGGACATTACATGCTGTTGTAATCATTTTTTAATAATTATTGTAGTTTTGAATTACGGGCTATATATCACGAATTTAAGGTCGAAATGAGTCAGCAAGGTGTTCGAATTATCGGACTTTCTGCCACACTACCAAATTATATCGATGTTGCAAGATTTTTACGTGTAAACCCCCACAAAGGAATGTTTTTCTTCGACGGTCGCTTCCGGCCAGTTCCACTTTCGCAAACGTAATTTTTATTAATTTGATTTTTTTGACATTAGAAGTAGAAGATTGAAATGCAAAAAAAATTATCGAAGCTTACAAATATTGTTGCAGGATGTATTGAATTGTGTGAAAACTTACGATGTATAAAGTTGCACAACTTTTAAGTATTGAAAGCCTAGCCATTATAGCGTTTGGCAGTTTTATTTCATAACATTCTTTTCAGTTTTATTGGTGTTCGTAATCCACGAAGTACAGGACCAGATTTTATGCGTGAAATGGACGAAGTATGTTACGATAAAGTGCATCAGTTTGTGAACAAAGGACATCAAGTTCTTGTTTTCGTAACTGCACGAAATGCTACCACAAAATTAGCTATCACCTTCCGAGATGAAGCTGCTAAAAAGGTTTCTTTCCTACTACGTTTCCTATTTCTGTGCTGTTCATCTCTGACCAGCATATCTAATAAATGCAGTGAATTATAAACTTTTTCTAACTCCATTGATAGTCAACTTATGAATTCCACAAAATTAATGCTTTTTGTTAAATCATTTCAGGGAGAATTGGATCATTTTTTACCGGCAAGTATTGGTTCATCACAGTATGTTAATGCAATTAAATTGGTGACTCGCAAATTTTTCTTTTATTTCATTTTTATTTCATATTTTAAAAGATATATATTGCAGTACTTATAAATGACTGAATAACCAAATAACAAGTATTATTAACAGAGTAGAGTAAAATGAAATGCGGTCGCGGGGATATGCTTTCATATATGTTGGTGACATGAAAGAATTAAGGAAGGTGCCATCAGAATAATGGTCAGTAGTAATTTCACCAAAGTTTTAGCATCAACAATCGGAAACTGAGACTACAGGAAAATATATTTTCAGGCGCAGAATTGTCGGAATGATATGTTAGCGGAATTCTTTCGACTTGGATTTGGTATTCACCATGCTGGCTTGCCACGTCGGGAGCGTTTGATGACTGAGAAGTTTTTTGCTAATGGACATATTACTGTGCTTTTTTGTACTTCAACTCTTGCATGGGGTATCAATTTGCCGGCGCATGCTGTTGTCATTCGGGTTTGGTTTTCTTCATTTGGGATCAAATTCTGTGTTTTTGTGTATGCTAGTAGAGTTTCGAAGTTTCCCATTGCATTATGTTGAAATATTCGAAACAATTATTTTAAACTACAAGCTATATTCTAAAGAATTAAGTCGAATAAAAGTTCAGATTAAGTGCTTCATGCAATCGGCAAAAGTTATACAGTTTATACATCAGTATAAAAATTTTGGAATTTATGAGATTTTCACAACTTCAAATCCATGCAAAATCACTGAAATTTTAGGGCACTGAAATTTTTGATGTCCATAAAGGCGATTTTAGCAACTTGGGTGTTCTTGATGTGCAACAAATTTTTGGTCGAGCCGGTCGTCCACAATATGAAAGTTCAGGTAAATAAGGAGTCATCTTGATATTCACGAAGCTCCTTAAGCGATATTTTTAGGATGGAGCAAGTTTTTAATCAACCGAAAACTGGACCAATAATCGCATATTATATTATAAATACTTATTTACAGCTTATCTGCAGTTGTGGTACGCTACTACATTGATACTATTTTTAGATTTTTTAATTCCATCCAGTCGTTTAGTGAATGAATTATAGGGCATGGCGTAATTATAACATGGAAAAAAAGTATGCCACAGTATTTGAATATGCTTCTTCGCCAAGCGCCCATTGAAAGCCAGTTCATGTCGCGAATTTATGACAATCTGAATGCTGAAATCTCTTTAGGTTTATTTTCTTTTTTTTTTATATCTTCCAAATACAGCATTGTGCATAACAATTTTTATAGATGCTTTTAAAGTTTTTTCATTTCAGTAACTTTTTATTATCACTGCTCATCCCGTAAAATTTTTTAGTTTGAGAGAAAGCTTTGTTTTGGCATTATCGAATAGTTGATAATGGTTTATTCTTGAATTATAAGACAATTATCAGAAGTTATCAATAGTAGAATCGATCACTTGGTTATTATTTTTATTGATCTGTGGCAATAGTTTAGGATTATTTGCCGAGGTGGTAGTTTAGAAGGAATTCGATTAAATGTAGATGGTAGTGTAATATAACACTCTTTGAAACATCTTTTAAAGATAGTTTTAAACAAGTGAAGCTAATGCTCGAAGAGCATTACATATCTATCTTAGGAATCACAGATTAAAGGGAATGAAGCAAACAAATCATTTCATAGTTACTTCATAGATGAAATTTATAACGAATTATCGACTATTAGGCAGCAAATTGTTTGATAAATAAAACTGATTATGACCTTTAGAATCATGGATTAAGATAAAAGCTGAATTTGATGTTAATTTTATAAAATAAATAAGAGAATTATATAAAATCGCTTTAATTGCTTTAATTTTTTTTTTGTATTATGACGTTGTATTTTTGTATATCAGTTTTCCGACAGCTCAATTTTACTTAGCATTAAGATTATTAGTTGAATTTACTTCAAATATAACTTCGTAACGAATTGGTACTAGCGGGTTTTCTTTTTCTGTTTACATTTATGATAACTATAATAACTATTTCCTTCTTATTTCTTAGTAACAACTCGAGAGTGGAAAGGAACATCTAAAATATTTCAGGAGCAGTATCAAGTATTTCTGAAGCAGTTGAATGGCTCAAATATACATATTTTTTCATTCGAGCTAAGCTAAATCCTCTTGCATACGGAATACCTCGAGGACAATTAGAGCGCGACCCAGATTTATATGAGTATCTAACTCAAATGATGACGAAAGCAGCTGAGAAGTTAGACAGAAATCAAATGATTAGGTTTGACAGGATGTAAGTTATGATACTGCTGTTTTTCTTATTGGTTAAGCAATGACGTGATGGTAAAAAATATGAAAGACCAAACCTTTTTTTAATACCATCAATTATATTGCAAAAATTCAACACAGTGCAATGTGGAATATTACATAAATAATCTTCAGCAATGGTTACGTAGCATCAACGGATCTAGGGCGAATAGCTTCAGCCTATTACATGAAATATGAAACAGTTGAAGTATTTATGAATGGCGTAGGGGGATTAAAATTGGAAGCATTTATGAGCGATGATATGATATTGTCGTTAATTGCGTCGGCAACAGAATTTGACCAAATTAAGGCCAGTTATATTCTCTTATATATTATGTAAGCAATCTTCAGGAATATTATTTTAACGCTTTTATTGAAATTTATTAAATTATTCCCAAAAGTGAAATGTAGTTTTTCACTTACTACTAGAAACTGTCGTATATTACTCGGCAGAATGAAGTATTAAAGAATCTTCCTCCAAGAAATAAAACCGCAAAATACATATTAAATTGTTCCCAAGAAGCATGATTTTATCCGATTGTCGGAGGTTTCCCTTGTTGGAAGATTCTTTCATAGTTCATTCTGTCGAGTAATATACAACAGTTTCTAGTAGTCAGTGAAAAACTACATTTCACTACCTTATTAGTCATTTTATTTTTATTCTGGTAGCAATTCTTTTAATTCATTGATTCCTATTCATCTTCCTGCTAAATCGGTCAAAAACTGTCTTCTCGGAAGTATTGGATTGTGCAAGATATATCTGAAACCTCCGACATCAGATAAAATCATGCTTCTTGGGAATAAATATGTATTTTGCTTTTTTTCTCTTAGCGAAGGATTCTTTGATAGTTTATTCTGCTGAGTAATGTACAGCAGTTTCTAGTAGTCATTGAAATTACATTTCACTATTTTATATAGAGTCATTTTATTTTTATTTTCGATTTAAGTATTCTTTTGATTAAGGTGCGGGAAGAAGAAGCTTTGGAACTGGAGGAACTTGTTTGTACTTCCTGTCCTTTGCGTTTGAAAAGAGGTGCTTTGGCAACGGTACCTGGAAAAATAAATTGTTTGATCCAGGTAAATAATAAAGAAAATTCTTTCGTAGCAGAAATATCAGGCTTGTTGGACGTTAAGTAGTCATTGTTATTTCTTTGCAGGCCCATATTTCACGAGCATTCATTCGAAGTTATTCATTGATTTCGGAATCAATGTTTGTTCAACAAAACTGTAAACGACTGTGTCGTGCAATGTTTGAAATAACTTTGAGAAGAGGATGGGCTCAAGCAGCTAATGCAACGCTTGCTATGGCGAAATGTTTTGATAAGCAAGTATGGCCGTTTCAGACACCACTGAGGTAAAACTTTCTTCTCTAGTTATTGTTGACTATTCTTTTATCCTTTCTATTGCTATATTTTCCAAATGAATTACATTTTTTTTTGTGCGCTTATATGAAAGAAGATTGTTAGAAATATAATTACGCTGAAATAAATAAATGAATTTTTTAACAGCTTTTACAGTTTGCTTTCAGGCAACTTGGTGAATTTATTCGAGCAGACTGGATTCCAAAAATTGAACGGAAGAAGCTTTCTCATTATCAACTCTTTGAAATGAGTGCAAAAGAACTTGGTAAAAAGTTGGACTGCTACTTTTTTCTTAACTTTGATGATGTTATTACTTAAATAGAAAATAAGTTGTTGATAGATTTGCCTTTTTTCACTAAGCAAGTGGAAAATCTATTATCGTAAATGGTTTTATTTAGGAAATATGCTAAGTTGTGATGGACAGAAAATGTATGAAGCAGTGCGCATGCTGCCGGTAATGTATTTGGAAGCATCAGTCAAACCTGTTACAAAGTTTGTATTATCTTTCACTGATTAGTGGATAATTTTTGCAAATCACTTTTTGTAGATAATAATTTTTGGATAAATTAAAAAATTAGAGTACAAAAGTTTAGTCATCAAATTTGACTAGTTTTATCATAGTTTCAGCAGATTATTTTATAGTATTTTTCATTTGTAATTTTGAACCATTAAATTTTTTTTTGCAAATTACTCAAAGTTTCTTTTTTATTAGGGAAATATCTTTCCAACAATGATAAAAACTTATGGTTATGTAGGCGGTGAAAATTTTTGTGCTCTTTTTTTACGTTGTTGCCATCCTTCCTAATGAGCATTAAAGACTTGGTGTAAATACTTTTATAAATAAAAAATGATTTTTTTGGTGCTCCCAAGTATCTATAATTTGCGAATTATTTGATTACTTTGTAGCACGATTATCCAGGTGACTGTGACTTTAACGCCAGACTTTATTTGGCATGAACGTTTTCTTGGTTCAACTGGCGTTCAAGTCTTCTGGGTTTTTGTTGAAGATATCAATGAAAACATGATCATTCATCATGATCAGATCGTAGTTAATAGGAATAAGGTTTGTAAATTATCTTATATCTTTTTTGACTCTTAACCAATTCCAAATTAATATTTGTTACACCAATCAAAACTGATATGTCACAGTGACTGTTTTGACATTTGCATATCATGTCTGATATGTTTTTTGTAAGCTTTTATATGTTAGCTGAGTCCACTACCTGATTTATACAGTATTTTTCACTATTTTTTTTAATTTGTAGGTTCGTAATAGAGAATTACAAAATCTCATTTTTACGGTACCGATCAGGGATCAGCAGTTAACCCATAATTATCAGGTGCGAGTTGCGAGTGATCGGTATGTTGTTGATGATAGTGTTGTTCCTATTTCGATGCATAATTGTGTTTTACCATCTTCTCATCGTCAGCATACGGGTACGGATTTTCCCTTCACGTCAAATTCTATATTTTTCTTATCTATATTTTTTGTGCTTTTCTTGCCGTCAAACTATATACACTTCTTTTGGTTTTTGCGGTTTTTTCTTTTCCTTATATTAGGCTTCACTGTTGTAATTAATATATTTTTACATCAACTCATTTTATTGAATAAGCTTTGCGTTTATTAAAGCAGTAATATGATCAGAATTATAGATCTGCTGGATTTGGATCCGTTACCGTTGACGGCTTTGAAAAATGAGGAATTCCAGTCAATCTATAATTTGGGATTTTTTAATCCAATACAGACACAGGTTATTTTTTAGTTTTTTTTCAAGGCTTTTTTTAGAAACTTCTTTTTTGTTTTCAAATTTTTTTTGCAGAACAGTTTATGAACTAATTTTATTATAGGTTTTCCACTGCTTGTATAATACAGATGAAAATGCTTTAATAGGAGCACCAACTGGTTCTGGTAAAACTCTTTGTGCTGAACTGGCGATGTATCGTATTTTCCGCGAGTATCCAGCTAAAAAAGTTTGATTTATTAACGTTTCATTGGATTGCTTTTTTGAAAGCCTTACTTTTGCAACAACATAATCCAGATTCTTCAATCAATTTTACTTATTATAAATTTGATTGTTTTTTTCAGTGTGTGTACATTGCACCACTAAAAGCTTTGGTACGCGAACGCGTTTCTGATTGGGATGAAAAATTTCGAAAGCTGAATATTAGGTTTAAATTTCAGTGTTCACTCTTTTTACAGAATTGTTTCATTTTTCCTAATTGAAATTAATTTTCTACTTTATCTTTTATTTTGATCATTCATTTGCTTTTCTTTGGACAGTGCATAGGATACTTATGCTTCCCGAAAGCATCGATTTTTTAATTTTGAATTTCGTGATGTTTGCTCAACGTTAATTTTTAGGACAGTTGAGCTTACGGGTGATCATTCACCAGATATTCGCAGTTTGAGTTCAGCTAAAATTGTGATCACAACACCAGAGAAATGGGATGGCATAACACGAAGTTGGGAAATTCGTCAATATGTTAAAGATGTAGCGCTTGTAATTGTTGATGAAATACATCTTCTTGGTGTTGAAAGAGGTGCTGTATTGGAAGCAATTATAACAAGGTAAGCGGGGTGAGGTGACAGTTTATGTTATGGATGATCCTAAATAATTCATTTTCGATTCCTTGAATCAAAAGATCTCAGAGACTGATGCTTGAAGATGTTATATAGTTACGCCTCAAATGTTGGAATAGAATTACTTCAGGAGTTCCTTTCAGATTAAAGTTGATGACTCGAAAAAAAGAATCGCACAATCCTGTTCGTGTGATCGGTCTTTCTACTGCTCTTGCCAATGCAGGTGATGTAGCAGAATGGTTAGGTATTGCGGATGTAAGTTAATTCTCTTAATAAATTTAATATTTTTCCTTCATAGTCGGTTTAAGTTGTTAATATTCTCCTTTATGGAAGAATATTTAGGCTGGACTTTTCAATTTTCGACCGAACGTACGACCGGTACCTATTGAGGTGCACATTGCTGGTTTCCCAGGTCAGCACTATTGCCCTCGAATGGCTTTAATGAATCGACCGGCATTCAAAGGTATTTCTTTATCTCAAAAATGTTTCCATTCATATGTTATTGTTAAGTGATCTTTTCTAATCAACTTGTGAATAATCTGCAGAAAATTTTATTCTTTATGTTATTTTTGCTGTTTATCTAATCTTAGCTGTACCTTTTTCCTTGTTAATTGAAGAGTCCTTTAGCAATCAAAAGTTATTCTCCTTGTAAGCCAGCTCTTATCTTTGTGGCATCACGGCGTCAGACGCGATTAACTGCAATGGCATTTGTTTCGCAACTCGTTACTGATGATGACCCACGACAATGGCTTCACATGGATATGGAAGAGGTATATAAAATTTTCATTCATTGATACAAAATGAGCTTCTAACAATTATTTGATCACATATTTCTTTATTCTAATAAACTTTTATCAGATAAGTTTTCAGTATAGTGTGAAACCATTCATCATGAATACGAAATTTTTTCAGCTTTAAGAAGGCTAATATTTCCAGTGATATGTTCATCGTAACGGTAAAAGGAACATTTATGAAGAAGCGTTTGTTTATGTAATGAATAAATGAATAAATGATGAAAAATCGTTCAAAATGGAACATAAAACATTACTTTGCATATACTAAAATCTTTTCTGTTAGGTTGATTATGTTAACAGTGATTTTATTATAGCTTGAGCAACTGATCATGACACTGAAAGATGAGAATTTAAAATTAACGTTACCGTTCGGCGTGGGAATGCATCATGCCGGTTTACAGCAATACGAAAGAAACATTGTTGAACGGGTATTTTGGATTTCATTTTCTACTAAATTCTTTATTTTGGTTTTTTTTAAGTTCGGTTTCATTATACTTTTTTCCATGATATCTAAGCGATGAGGACAAAGGATGACCGTTATTTACTACTTTCCTGCAACAGGATGAAATCATGGAAGTGCTTTGCAGTTGAAAGATTTATTGCCAAAATTATAAATGTATTAAATTTGTTTAGCAGAAGTTTATATTGTCAAAAAATTCTTGACAGCAGTATAATCATTATTTTATACTTACTGAAACAAGAAAGCTTTATCTCTCTTGTAATTTGTTTCTATATTGTAATTTTCAGCTTTTCGTGGAAAAGAAGATTCAAGTTATGGTAGCTACAGCGACCTTAGCATGGGGTATTAATATGCCGGCACACTTAGTTATTATTAAAGGAACCGAATATTATGATGGAAAAACTCACAAGTATATAGATTTTCCAGTTACTGGTATGAGCTTGATTCTTGTGTTAAATATATTCCTCTTTTAAAACCTCTTGTCGGAAATCAGTGTATTTCTATTCAAATAATATCTGAAACATTATAATCAATTAAACTACTCCTAATGAATATATGGAAATCATCATATCGAGTTTCTTAGAAAACAAGATTAATAAGCATAATAAGATAACTAGGAGATTTAATGACGTCAGCGAGGAAGATATGAGAAAGAATTCTACTTGTTGAAAAACTAATTTTACTTTTTTTTGAAGTTTTTTTTTAGAAAATTAAATTTTTTTTTGAAGGTAGACTTTTAGATGTTTTACAAATGATAGGCCGCGCAGGTCGGCCACAATTCGATGATTCTGCTGTTGCTGTTATTTATGTTCAGGATGTTAAGAAAAACTTCTATAAGCGTTTTCTTTACGAACCTTTTCCGGTCGAGTCAAGGTGAATCATTGAAAATTTCTTCTTTTGTTTAGCCTTTTGTAGAGAAGAGTTGGGGTTAGGTCATCGATCTAATGCGTATATTTTTCAGTTATATAAATGCTTCTATGTTTTTCGACTCATGTCTCATTTAGTGTCTGTTTCACTGTAGAGACATAAATTTTGCTTTAAACTCAAATATATCAAGTGCTTATGTGAGACTTTCGCAGCTATTAAGGAAGATTCTGTATAAAAAAAGGGAGCAAAGAAATATCAGTATCTTCATTGTTCCTTTCAGTATGCTCTCAGCATTGCCAAATCACGTGAATGCAGAAATTTACGCTGGAACCATTACTTCACAGCAGCATGTAATGGAATACATTGCTAATACCTACCTTTATCGACGTCTTTTTGCAAATCCAAGGTAAAATTTGTATGAATTAGTTTCATAATATTAACACTTTTCCTTTTTTGCACATTTATATTAGGTTTGGATTTAATTCTAGAAAATTATGAATTAAATAAAGGCATATTACTTGATCTCAGCTGAGCTTAAATGAATAACAAAATCCGTATCGTTTTTACTATTTGTAGTTATTACGGTATTATGGATACGACACCGGAAGCTTTAACACAGTTCCTTGTGGAAGTAGTTGATAACTGTATTGAAGAACTTGTGCTTTCTAGTTGTATCATCGTTAATGAAGTATGTTTGTTTTGCAACAAAGATTCATTCCCTTTTGATTATTACAGGAAATCTTTTTCTGATTATCTTAAAAAATAGAAGTTTCGTGTTCGGTTGAATTACACTTCATTTTTCTTAATAATCTGATATAATAGATAAAGATTTTTGAAATATTTATAAAAACGATGCCTTGAATTGTATTTCTATAGATTCATGATTTAAAATGTATCAAATTTCAGGAGGAACAGTCACTTATTTCAGCGCCGCTTGGAACCATCGCGAGCGTTTACTATCTGAGTCATAAAACTGTGAGATTTTTTGCGAACTGTCTAACACCTACAGCAACGGTAGAGGAGCTCATGAAAATTTTAGCAGTACGTCTCTTGATTTTGCACTTATATAAACTTTTGTATAAACGCTTCGTACTGTGTTCCAGAACAGTACGGCAACATCCTTTTCTACAAAGTAGTAGTTTATAAGGGGAGTTTTGCTTTGAAAGTGGTATTGGCAAAAGGTCTTTCTAGTTACCTGAGGAGATTGGAAAAGCTGTTTCAGGATTGCCCAGAATATGATGAAATACCTGTTCGACATAATGAAGACCAAATCAATGGGTTAGTTTTTGTTGATTAATTATGAATTTTGCACTGCAGAACCCATGATCTTCCCATTTCACCTTTCTACTGCTTAACTTAATATAGATTCAAAAATAATCGTCCATTAAGCTCTGTATCTGTCCTTTTTTTCTTATTAATTTCAATAATTTCAGGCAATTACAACAAATTATGCCGCTTAAATTGCCAGCTGATGCTGCCTTGGATTCTTCACATACAAAAGCATTTTTGTTATTAGAGGCACATTTAAGTCGTATAAAGCTTATGACAGACTACATCACTGACCAACGCTCAATGTTAGAACAGTGTTTCCGAATTTTAAATGTAATGATTTTCTACTTGTCGTCAAACTTGCTTGAGAACATTTGTTAAAGCACTGATAATGAAATAAATAAAAATGTGTACTTGAGCAGAAAAGTGATGTATGGAGAGCGAATTATAATTTTTCATTTGATTATGAGTGTGCATCTATCAAAATTTATGCTCAGGAGGGTTATTTGCTAAAATTGGGAAATAATATAAAATTTTTTTTTGAGATTTAAATTTTTTTTGATTTTTAGGCAATGTTGGATATAAGTCTTTTGCGTAAGTGGCTGGCAACTGCTCTTTCGGTTGTTATTTTGATGCAAATGATTGCTCAAGCCGCTTGGCATACTGACCATCCCTTAGTTGTTGTGCCGCATTTCTCTGAAGACGTTATCAATAGAATTGGGTAAGTATAAAATCTAAAAAAGTAATGAAGCTGTTCAGTGCATAACACTATTGATCTTTGAATCACTATTTCTTATTAAGTTTAGTATTATGAACCTTAATTAAGCTATCGATAACCTAATCGATAGTGAAAATGATAGTAGTGGCATTCAGTATGTCATTGCTTATAAAAGAAAAAATGACTAGTTTCTTCTGCCGCATATTTTGCTAAGCAGTATTGTTTTGGAACGATTTTTGGTTCCATTTAAAGCAGAAATATTTTTAGCCTTTTGTATGCTCAATATTTTTAATACGTTTTTGTTGCTGGTATGCAGGACTGATTCGACGATACCTACACTAAAAAATCTTTTTGGCCTTGATAAAGCGGATATCGAACAGGCGAAAAAAAAAGCCATCAAGAAACTTCTGGACATGACAATTATCGATGTGCAGCAGGCAACGGAGGTTTTTGTTTTCTTTAATATCTTTTATTTGTCTGATATTGATCCTCTTTTTTTCTTTTTCGAAATTTGACTCTAAATCATTAGATGCTATTTGAAAGGCAAATGGGGAGAAGCATATAATTGTAATCTTAAAAGAAGAAATTGAACGGCTAGACCAGTATTAATCATCATGCTTAGAATCCCTTAAAGATTGAAATTAGCTGTGGTTCATGTAATCATCAAGTCTAGAATCCTTAAAGAATGAAATTAGCTGTGCATGGCGTAATATACCTTCGTTGTCTATAGTTCATTTAGTTCATCACTTGTGTTCATTTTTTATTTATTAATTTCCGTGGAGTTTTGCTATATATTTTACTGCCGCTTCTAAATTTGTGTTATCATCTCTTTGCTAACTATGCAACGGTAGTGTTTTATCACTCAGTTTTGTGTAATGTTATAATTGCAGGCTGTTGATGCTCTTCTAAAATGGCCAGTATTACAACCGATGAACTGTGTGTTATGTGGTGCAAATCAGGTTTTCGAAATCGATTATTTGCAAGATGAACGATGGCCGAAGTATATGAATGTTCAGTCTGATACGCAATATCGTATGTTATTCACTGTCGAGTTGATCGGCCCATATAGGGTATGTTTGTATTAGAAGTTAAGAATCAAAATTAATAAGAATACATTTTTTTATATATAGATATTTTTTGTTTTCAACATTTTACAGCTAAAAATAAAAAAATTTCTATTTCGATGAAAAAATGAATTAGCCGAATAAAATGATAATATTTTAGTTCGAAACGAATGCTTTTTGTCCACATTTTCACAAAAAAAAAATTGCTGGCTGGATTGTGATTATTGGTGAGAAAGATACAGGTGAAGTTCTGTGCTGCAAAAAAATACCACCTATTACCGGTTCTAAGCGGCTTACTGTGCCATTCAGGATGCCGAAACGACTGTAAATTTTATTTTTTTTAAAAAAGCAATTTTTTGAAAAATTTTACATTTCTAACAAATTTAGGAATAAACTACTAGGTATAAATTTCAACTTTCCGATGAGAGATTTTCCGTTTGAAAGTTATAATTAATTTGGTTAGAAAATAAATTTTGAAGTTTTTGAGTCCGGTTCATGTAAAGATTTATGGTGTATTCTCAGTAAGCTGTTGTATATGTTGTAGGGTATCAGATGGTATAGTATTAAAAGATGTGATATTTTAAATCAAATAGCTAGGGTAGGCGTGAGTATTGAATAGTTATTTGCTTTTGACTTTCTAGGGGTCGACATATTTTCACGGCTTTCATAATGTCCGATTCTTATATTGGCATCGATCAGGAATACAATCTTCATTGCGAAATTGTCGAAAAGAAAGTGTCGGAAAATTCCATCAATTTAAAATTGTAGGATTGATAATGTGGTCAGAAAATTAATACATTGCTGTTTTGTCATAGTGCTGATAACTTATCAGTTTTTATATGCACTCTGTTTTATCACTTAACTCCGTTTCCTGTTGCGTCTTTCATTCTTCATTGGTTTTATAATTAGTTCCGGCAATTCTCGCAAATTTTTGAGAAAAAAGTCTTTATAGTTAAACAGCTCGTTTATTTTTTCTTGAAAAAGCATTTCAAATAATCCGAATTATGTTTTTGTTAATGCTTTATATTTTCTCTAAAGAATCGAGTTTAAATAACATCCACTGAAAATTATAACGCAGGAGTAGGTCAAATATTTTGTTTGTCATATATATGCTGTAATAATTGATAATTTTGCAAAATGAAACGAAGAACAATTTGACATTGACCTCCAAAGTGATCAGAACTTTTATTTCATTTTTTACATCTGTGTACTTCAGTGTAGCAAAATTGGACATGTGAAGTGAAACGGTACACCACTGGTTCTGCTGTATTGTTCTTATGTGTTTCATTTTTCTTCCTTTAAATGTTCTTGAGCTCTGATCAGATGTCTTTATTTAATGCTATTCGGGTCACTATAATTATATGATTTTATGGACGTGAATGAAGTACAAAAAGATATATCTACTCTTTGCAGTCAAGAAAATAAAATAAAGTAGATATTTCTGCTAGTTTTTACTTTTCTTTTAACGGATGACTGATTATAGATTTCTTCATCGAGTCATAAATTGAATAAATTTGATGATATGTAGAAAACTATGGAGCTATTTGCATACTTAAGCTGCATTTTGATCCATGCGGAAGATGATAGGTTGGAATAGGAATAAAAGAAAACGAACAAAAAATTCGTTATGAAAATGAAATGATGCAATCATCTGATTAATATTGAACTTTTAACATTGCGAAGTATGATCCTTCAAATGTCTCATTGTTGACGGTGTATTTCCTTGTTTAAAATTATTCGTGTGTTGCTAAAAAAAAAAAATGCTTTTATCCAATCATTTTGCGTCTAATTTGAAAAACTTGTTCTTGCACTGCACATTATTATGTTGACATACTCTTTGAAATTTTTTGAGGCAGTGTCAGTGTTACAATTTTAACCATAGCGCTCCTAACGAGATGGCAATATTTTGCTTATCGGAAGAAATATTAAGAGAACAGTGTAACATACTGTGAAGTAGTGAGATGAGACATTATCGTTTTGAAACAATATTGATTGTTTAATTTAGTATATATTTCGTTGCGTAATGGTATTATGAATTGATCTTTGAGCTTTAATTATGTCAAACTTATAAACTTCTGCTTTTGTTCTTGAGTTTTTTTTTTGAAAATTGAGAAGAGAGATAAGCAAAAAAATTAGACAGATTAAATTCCATATTTGATTGGCGAGCTTAGATTTTTAACTTTTAACTATTTTAATGTAGAAGTGAAAGGTGTTTTCATGTTGTTTGTTCATGGAGAATGTATTGAATCATGCTGTTAATTTATTTCAGAAATTCAATAAGTTTGTCGAATTTAACGATGGGAAAAATAGATATTCAGCAATTGTATGATTTGGCGAATCATCTACGTATTGATTCGATCAAAATGACTTGTGCGGCTAAATCAGGTCATCCTACGAGCTCATGCTCAGCTGCAGAAATTATTGCAACTCTTTTCTTTAGCGAAATGAAATTTGATAAATCGTTCCCGAAGAATCCATCTTCTGATCGTTTCGTTTTATCGAAGGTTTGACGTTTTATTTTAAAGAAAAGAAAGAATATTGTTAAGTGGTAAGCAATAAATGATTGTTAAGACCTAAACATGCCTTTCCAATTTATGAGCAGTTTGAAATTTTAATGCAAACTATAAGAATTGAAGTAATATTCCTTTTTTTCAAGGGTCATGCATGCCCAGTGCTGTATGCTGCTTGGCATCAGGTAGGACATATATCGACTACTGACATAATGAATATACGAAAAATAACTTGTGATTTGGAAGGCCATCCTACACCAAGACTAGACTTTATCGATGTTGCTACTGGTTCTCTTGGACAAGGTCTTTCATGCGCTGCTGGAATGGCATATGCTGGAAAATATATTGATAAGGTATCTATCACGAAGCATATTCAAGAATAGAATTTGCATCATCTAGCCAGTCATAGTAGAAGACGGATTTGTAAGCGCTTAAAATCGAATAGTACCCACTTTTGTTCTGCTTACATTTTCACAAACTTGATATCTCTTGTTTATTTAAACTTATAGAGTGCAAATCAATTGAATTATTCGCCAAAGTCTCTCTCTTTTCTTGAAATTAGTTCTTTCAATTTAGGCAAGTTATCGTGTATACTGCCTGTTGGGCGATGGTGAATGCGCAGAAGGTTCAATATGGGAAGCTGCAGGCATGTTTTTTTGCAAAATTTCAGTTCTCCTTGATATCTAGTTGATAAATCGATATAACGTGTGCTGTTTAATAACGATGAGAAATCTAGATTTGCTAAAGGAATCATGTAATCAATAACTTAAATGTTCGATATTATAGCATTTGCGTCCTATTACAAATTGGATAATTTGGTTGCAATTGTGGATATGAATCGTCTAGGACAAACCCAACAGACGATGCTAGGACATGATGCTGACACCATGGCAAAACGCTTTGAATCATTCGGTTGTCACACAGTCATTGTTGATGGCAGTAATGTCGTGGAACTTCTGAATGCTTATAATATTGCACGGTTAGAAATCTATTTTAAAAAATGATAGAGGAAAGGTTGATATCTGCATTTTTGCATAATTTTCATCTCATTTTCATTTCAGGCATTTTGCTTCGTTTTACAATCATGTCAAATAGAAGATAGTGTTAAGATATGATAGATATTTCGGAATTACCTAGTAACCTCAAAAGGCAACGTATTCTATTGATTATCAAAAACTACAGATGTCCCTACTAATATAGAATTGCTTGATATTTGGGATTAAACTGAAGTTGAAATGGGATTTAGTAAAATGCGTTCTGATTTATTTAGTCAAACAAAAGATAAACCAACAGCAATCGTTGCAAAAACATTGAAGGGAAAAGGCATTGTTGGAATCGAAGATGAAGTAAGTTTTTCCCGTTGCACAACTGAAGATATGTTTTGGTGATTGAGCAGTTTATGTTATTGTATGAAATTAAGAAATGCTAATATTTTTTAAAATATAAATTTGCTGAAATAAAACTGATCATTGATTTATTATCAGTAGTTATTCATCCGTTATCAAAAATGGGATCCAGTATTGTATAATTGTTGACTCATTATGAAGAGTATTAGACCATTCCAATGCAAATAAGGAGTGATGTGCTGGTGTAAGGATAAGTTTGGCAATTACTAGCACTTATTAAGGTGGGGTTCGAGATCTAATACAATCAATCGAAACGAAAAGAATGTATGTGAAAATAAATAACATCCATTGTTGGCGGCAGAGCACCAGCTATGACCGGTGAAATAAATACCGGGAATATCCTAGATTCTCTGCTAAATCACGAATGTTGACTGTTTGACGGGATACATATATTATGCTGTATCACGATTGGTAGTCACGTACAAACGTTTGATGTACCCACTTCGGCTTAGATCTGTTTTTACCAGTACATGTGTGTAAATGAATTATTAAAGTTAAGACGATAAATATGAAAATTGGAAGTTCGTAAATACTTCAAGAATTTGAAGTGTAAGTCACCTGACTTATAAGGAATTTTAACGCAACCACTATCTTGATTATTCAAGAGGCATTTGTGCAAGATTGAACGATCATACCTTTTTTCAGAAGTGATACTAACATTGTATTTTAATTTGTATGATGATTTACTTACTTTAGGATAACTGGCACGGAAAACCAGTATCTGAAAATACTATTGAGGCAATCGAACAGCGTCTTATGAATAAGGCGGATATTGCTGGGACATTTCAAATAAAGCCTCCTGCAAACGATGCTCCAGATGTTCAGCTCCCAATTGGCCATATTAAAATGGCACCACCAGCATACGCGCTTGGCGATAAGGTTTTCTTATGTTCTCTTGAGAGTGCATGCATTTTTAGCAGATTCATTTAAACTAATTTTGATTCATCTGGAAAAGATGAATAATAATGCAGCAAATGAAGTCTAGAAAAGATGAATAATAATGCAAGAAATGAATTAAGTTAAGTAGTTCTGATTGCTATACAAATTTAATTAATTTAAAACTAGCTTAATGCAAACCTGTATATCATACAGTTATTGGTGGAAATATGCTTATGGATCTGTATTTATGCATTTTGCTTTTGATACTTGCAAGCTTGATTTTCAAATTAGATATGACTTTTTCAAATTTTGATAGGAGTTATAGTTGCACTGTCACTGTTAGAAGATATCTGTCCACTACGGTTTCTGATAATTGACAATCATTATAAGTGTTCATGCGATACCAACTTTCTACTGAGTGACAAAAGGATTTATTTCTTTTAATTTTTTACTCCCAAAATCATTTCATTAAAGTATTCACATTTCAGGTGGCAACCCGCCAGGCCTATGGTACAGCGTTGGCAAAATTGGGTGATGCATGTCCACGAATAATTGGCTTGGATGGTGATACCAAAAACTCGACATTTAGTGAGAAATTGTTTAAAAAACATCCAGAACAGTTCATCGAATGTTTTATTGCAGAACAAAATCTTGTTGGAGTTGCTGTTGGTTTGCAGTGTCGTGATCGTGCTATTCCATTTACAAGGTTTGCTTCATCGATAAGTTTTAGTTTGGTCAAGATTTAGCTAATTTTAATTTTTATGTTTCTTCACTGCTTCATTTGAAGATGAATCAACTTATTGCATTTAAACTGCAATGTCAGAAATTCCATGTTCCCAACATGACTAAATTCACCTCTTAATGATAGCGTAATGGATATGAATGGAATATGAATATGATATGTCAGCATATTTTTTAATCGTTCCATGGTTATACATTTCGATGGCTTGATCAATTAAAAAAAAAATGAACGGATATACCTCTTGAAGGAAATAGATAAGAAGTAAGAAAGGTTAAAATGAATGTACTTCTTAAATATTCAAGTGTGATTCAGTATTGGAAAGTTTCATTTTCCTGTAATAATGTAATTAAAATTTTTCGCAACACATGGTTGGGTTTCTCAATTTCAACATTATTATAGCGTGTAATATTGTGTTATATGTATATATATATACGCACACACAACAGCAATATTTCCGCAACCATTCATATAGCTGTTGTTTGAAGACATTTTTGTAAGTTTACGGTGTGCAGTTTTACATTTTCTGTGACACATAATATCAATTTGGTAATATTAACAAAAAGATAATGTTGAATATTACCAGTCTTTGAAATGTTTATTTACGAGCAGATATTAGTTCATTTTTGTTTTCTAACCTCATATTATATACAACTAACTTTTTTTTGTTACTGATCGTTTTTAAGAAAATTTGTTTTTGCTGTTGTCAACATTAATCAGATTGGGATGAAGAATTGTATATTAATGTTGATTTATTAGAAAATGAATTTTTAGTCTAGTTTTATTCGCAATATTGCATGCAATTAGTTTTCAAAAAAACATTAGATTTTTTTAATTAAGGATGAAATCATAAAACAGGTATTTTCGAGAAAAAATTTCTGAAACATCAAGTGCACTGCACTAATAGTCAAAAGATTTTAATAATTTGTGAAATTTGTTAATAAAAAATGAAAGAATAATTATAAGTATTTATAATTATAGTACTCCTATAAGTATTTGTTCATCATTTATAATTTCTAATTTCTAATTTCATTTATAATTTCGATGGATTTTTGAATTAACATCTTAGTTTTGGCATATACTACGGTATGTTAATGGTCTCTTTACAGTTTTCGAAGCATTAATAATTTTGAAATTTATTGAATTATAGCACATTCGCTGCATTCTTTACACGTGCTGCTGATCAACTTCGCATGGCTGCGGTATCATTCGCAAACATAAAATGCGCTGGTTCGCATGTTGGTGTGTCTATTGGAGAAGATGGTCCATCACAGATGGGTTTAGAAGATATCGCACTATTTCGGTATGTTTATTTTGATGTCACATCTTCATAAAATTTGACGATTAAACTAATAAATTCAGAGCAATTCCTGGATCCATTGTGTTCTATCCAACAGACGCAGTGGCTGCAGAACGCGCGACAGAATTGGCAGCTAATACTCGTGGTATTGCATTTATACGAACTGGACGCCCTGCATGTCCTGTTATCTACAGCAATGATGAAAAGTTCGGTATTGGTAAAGGAAAGGTAAATACCGCTTGTATATTCCTAAACTACAAATTTTTCTTCCATTATTTTTTTTTGAATTTAGATTTTAAATTGACTTTTTTCCTTTTTTCTTTGCTAAGCAGTAATTAGTGCACATATGTTCTCTCCACATGAGACGTTTTGTCATCATCTATTCTTTTATAAAATTTATAGCTCATTTCAGATCGTACATGATTCAAACAAGCCGAAAGCATTGATAATTGGTGCAGGTGTTACGCTTTATGAAGCAAAAAAAGCAGCAGATAAATTGCAATCAGAAAATATAGAAGTAATTGTGATGGATCCATTTACAATTAAGCCGCTTGATAAAGATTTGATCATAAAATCGGCCAGAAGAGCAGAAAATCGTATCATCACTGTGGAGGATCATTATCAAGCCGGAGGTATCATTTTTCAATATTTGAAATATTAAATTCAGTTCTCACTTTATTCCTTCTGCTTTGTTCATTATTTTGTTTTATGGTAAGAGATTTTTCCATCCTCACTTTCCAGTCGTACGTTATCACAGTTTGTAGAACCACTTCAGCATTCTTTGTATGCTTTATGGTGATGACTTGATTGCAGATGTACAGTTACGTTCCGAATTTACGAAGGAGATTTTAATGAACTTTTTTAAAAGATTTTGTTAAATTTATTGAAAGCTTTAGGTATTGGTGAGGCCGTATCTCAGGCTGTTTCTGATCAGGATATTCGTGTGCGTTCATTGTTCATTCTTGATATTCCACATTCCGGACCACCGGATTGTCTGCTTGAAAAATACGGGATTTCAGCAAAATATATTATTGATGCCGTCCATCAATTCGTTCATCCACCAAACTAAGTGACTTTATTAAGATTCCATTGGTCTAACTGCTTTTCCCAGCTCCTTCAGAATTCAATATTTTTAAAATTCTATGAGTTTATTTTCTTAATCATTTATTCCCCAGTTTTCGCACTATTTGATTCCTTGAATTGTTCCGTAACATTTACAAGTTGCATTTATGAATTACGCTGAATGATACGTTCTATTGAAATTTCTTTTTCACACTCTCTGCATTTGTAACAAACAATAAATAACAACAACAAACAAGGCAGTAAGTATCGCAGGAAAAAAAAATTTGCTTGAAAAAATACGACATACGAGATTCTTATTATTTCCGAATATTGTTAAATTCGAAACAATCGAGTTCAGAATTTTTAGTGTATTGTTTCCCACCAAATTATATGATAACTGGAATTTAGGACCAGGTACTCACTGTTTTTGTCTGTACTGCACTGAAAAGTAACAAAGACGTGGAAAGGGAAGATAATTGGGGACTGGAGCAAAAAAAGCGAAACAGTATTTAAATAGTTAGTGTCGAGATCTGATTCCCGAACCTGGAGAAGATGGAGACAAAGAATTTAAGAACACAGCGCTTGCACAGAATATGTACTTGGCTAATGGGGAACACCAGATGAAAAAATAACGAGACGCGGTATGAATGTCCAAATTTTTTCATTGTGTGGGTGTGGTATCTCAATAAATTGAAGGACAGTTCCGCTTTCTTGAGTTTCTTTCTCTTTTCTGAAGTGTAAAAAAGGTGATTGAATAAGCTTTCATCAGTAGCTACGACCGAAAAGTGCGTAAAATTTGGGTTGCTCCTTGCATTTTGGATGTATACATTGCATTGGTAACTGTTCCGAAGGCTAAAAAATGTAGCATTAATAACTGATGAAAAACAATCAAATTCCTATCTCAAACTATATCATCAAAATCAAATAAGGATATATCCGATTTATAGAGCTATAAAGAAGAGCCACCTATTTTCGAGATTTTTTTTAAAGGAGATTAATAATTTCCTTTAAAAAAGACAAACTTTTATCATTCATTTGATTAAACATAATTAATTAAAGATGACAAAACCTGTTCAAATGGTATGCATAGTGTTTTAGCGCCCATCAGTGGTGTCCCGACTTCACTGCATTCCTCACTGGAACTATCCTTTTTAATGTTATCTTCACAATGTGAAAGACCACAAAACGCAGCCAAAATTAAATATTTCTGGTCTAATAGTTCTTTGAACTCCGACCAATGTGTAGTAATTTTCTGATATTGATCCTGTATTTTTTTCATGCTGAAAAAGTTATTTGGTAAAAAATAAATTCATGCTCCATTTCAGCACATTCAAGATTCTATTATTATTAAGGACATGAAATAAATTTTCCATTGCTCAAAACATAACATAATTTCAAAGGGAAGTTCAAATCACATATTCATCCTCATCAATGGTCAATCAATACGGCTCATGGAGTAAATGTGGAGTTAAACATTGATACTGAAAAAAGTCCATTTTTATTTAGGAACTTACTTCATATACATGTTAGTATGTATCTCGTCTAACAATTCGGAGCATTTTGTTGATAAATTATCGATTGCAATGACTAATTTTTGTCTGTTATAACGAATAACGCATGTGACCTGCAAAATTTGTATAAGTATAGAAGTGAGAAACATAAAGAGAAATGGGCACAAAGAAAAATATAACTTTTATTGATATCAAATGGAACAGTTTAATCTTATGCTCAGGAAAAAATTAACTGAATGACTTTTTATTACAATAATTTCTTATTGTACCAAACTGATTTTGTCAAGGATTGTACAAGATAAAAACTACAAAATAAAAGACGTTCTTCGGTCACTTAACAATAAAATCAGCAACTTTAGATTATTTAAAATTAAAATTAAAGCTATAAGTGAATAATCTAACCAATCTTAACTATACTCTTTACCATTACGCAACAATACCTGAGATTTTTTAATATCCTTCGGTCCAAGTTCAAGCCTAATCGGAACACCTTTTAATTCCCAATGGTTAAATTTCCATCCAGGAGAGTAATTATCACGCAAATCAATGTCAACTCGAATTTTCGGTTTTTCAAGAATCATCATAATTTCTTCCGTTTTTGCGATTATTTCTTGCCTTGCTTTCTTATCCATTTGCGAAGTGATGCCAACCGGTATGATGATTACCTGAAATTATATTTCTCATTTTATGT